TCTAATGTCCACATATGAGGGAGAACACACGATTTTTGGTCTTTTGGGCCAGGCTAACTTCACTCAGAATGATGTTCTCCAATTCCATCCATTTACGGTCATATTTTTTAAAATGATTTTCTGGCCATTGTTTAATATTAATTGCAGTATCATTACAGAATAGTTGAATTTTAGTATTGCTTATTTGTAGTTTTTTTTTCTTTCTAAATACAAGTCAACTTACTTATTTTTCTTCACCAATATAGAATATTGTCCTCTCTGGAGGTTCAACCATGTTCAGGGACTTTGGACGTCGCTTGCAAAGAGATTTGAAAAGAACTGTGGATGCCAGGCTGAAGTTAAGTGAGGAATTGAGTGGCGGTAGATTAAAGGTTAGTTTTCTGAATTATTGCTGGGAAAATTGAGGCTGTCTTGATTATTGCAGTGGGGATGAGAAATGTTTGTCACTTTTTGCTCTTACTTTGGAAAGTAAGAGGAACATACCAGATATTCTAATGGAAAGTGGTTAATGTTATAGATGTATGTCCATAGTATTGTGGGTAATTGCTTGTTTTAGGATAATCTCAGCATTTCTAGAAAATATTCTTAGTGATAGTTGTGAGAAAAAATTTTGTAACATTTCTCACAGATAATTAGGGGATTTCTTTACATACTCCAGCAAGAAAATTCATTATGGATGTGTAAAATTTTAAATGCTTTGTAGCAGAAAAATAAAGCTAGGGTTAAAAGAAATGGTGATTTGAGTGGTTAAGATTGCTTTTACAAGCTGACTCCAGCCCTTCTTGTAATGTGCCATCAAATCAGTGGTTCATCCAAGTAACCTTTATGTTACAAGTGCTAGACCTTCAGGCTAGCTGTGAGAAAATGAAAATTAGTTCTCAGATATTTGCTTTCTATATGTATGAGACAAATTCTCAATAATTTTTTTGGTGTCATCTTTGTTAAATATTGAAGCAAAACATTGATTCAGAGATTAAGTTGCTAAATAAAACATATTTCTTTGTACTTGGGAGAGTAACAAGAATGAAGACTCATTCTGAGAGTACCACAACCATTAAAAAGTACTTTAAAGTAAAATATAACACTGGAGCTTGTTGCTTATTGAAAATAACAGCTGACAGTTTTCAGCACCTAAACTTTGGATTATCTTAAATAAACCTTTCCTTTAGAGTGTTATAAGTTTTGAGCTTGGTCATGTAATAACATGGCTTCACATAATAGGCAGTTTGCTCATGTAAATACATTTTTTAGCTGTTTTATTTCCCCCCATTCTCAACCAACCAACCATTCAGCCACCCAGCACCCCCAATACCAGTGCACTTAGTAATATAAAAAAGGCTGATGGGTTTTTAAGCGTAGTTTTAAATTGTCTGTACTGAGAATCATACGAATCACATTGATTATGCAACACGGTCTTAACCTGAGCCATATTTCGCCAGTTGTTGTGCTACTGTACTTTTATAGCAAAAGGAAAATAAAATAAATGTTTTTTGGTTTAGGATCCAACGTAGGATCACATGTTCTATTTAATTATTGTCCCCATCCAATATGCAATAGTTGCACAGTGTTTGTTGTATTTCTTGGTCTTGCTCTTTGTAAAAATACAGACTATTTATTTTGTAGATTGGTCCTTAATTTGAGTTTTCTGATGTTTTCCCATGATTAGATTCAGTTTATGCTCTTTGGCAGTAATACACAAAAGTGACATGTCATTTTTAGTGCCTGTATCAGATCATCAGACTCCTATTCTCTTTGATCACTTGGTTAAAGTTGTTTCTGCCAGTTTTCATGACTGTAGTTACGAATATCTGATTTCTTAGTTTTTGGCTATATCAAAGTATTATTAGTACCATTACTTCTGATGCTCCACTTTTCTGTTTTGGCCAGTGGGAACCATTCAAGTGGCTTTTAGGTACTTTTGATGCAGCCTCATCAATCTTTGTGTATTTTCAAGATATTTCAGACTGATTTTATATTTTTCTGTTTCTGACTCTGAAATCAGCCCATTTTGTTTTTCTCCAAGACACTCTTTTTAGTGGAGAGTACTAAATGAAGTTTTGGACATTAGATATGTTCCACAATACATTTATCTTTGCTTATATGGGGAATATGTATACAGTAGCTTCCAAATTGTTAATCCATGTCACTTTGAAACATGGGCCTACTGAGTAGAGTTGAGTATTGCTTAGTTTTTATCGCTCAGGTATAGGGTGAAAATACAGAACTCACAAGTTACTTGGGTTGTCCTTTCCTTCACTATACTGTAGTTCTGTTTTTTTGTTTAAAACAATTTAATTTGCTTCTATTGTAGTTTTTAACCCCACATGCCCGCATGCCCCTTCCTTTTAAAGGTGTATATATGTATTTAATTTTATTTTTAAAATTTCTTTTTGACACTCACAGAATACAGTGTGATAATTCAGTATTTGTATGCAATTTACAAGGTCAAATCAGAGTAAAGTAGCATTTCCATGTAAATATTTAACTTTATTTTTGGAACCTCTGAATGCCTCTCTTCTTGTGCTTTACAAAATATCTAACAAGTTGTAAAGAACTGTGTAAAACGCATATTGTTAATTTCTTTTTTGATAGGACTGAGGTTTGAGTTCAGAGCTCTGCACTTCCAAAGCAGGTGCTCTACCACTTGGGCCAAACCTCTGGATATTTTTGCTCTGGTTACTTTGGAGATGGGGTTGTGGGAACTATTTGCCCAGGCTGACCTGCCCAGGAACCGCAACCTGCATTCGTCCCAATCTCAGCCCCCACGTAGCTAGGATTACAGATGTGAGCCACTGGCAGCTGGCCAAACTGTTACTTCTCCATCAATTCCATCCAGATTATTTCCCTGTGTTCCCAGCCCCGCTTGTCTGTAGCTAACTAATTTCTGTTCTGGTTTATATCACATGAATTTAGTATAAGTATTATTTGTCTGTACATTTAAGTTTAAATGATATAGAAATAGTTATTTGCATTTACTATTGAAATGGTCTTACTGTGTTTTTTTTTTTTAGCCAAAACCTATTGATGTACAAGTTATTACACACCATATGCAGCGATATGCAGTTTGGTTTGGAGGATCCATGCTGGCTTCCACGGTAAGTATGATGAAGCTCACTTACAAATTTCTGCATATTTATTTTTAGATGGAAAAATCCAAAGGTTGCAGAAGCACACAGCAAATTCCTTTAAATTTTATCTAAATATAGCATAGGAAACTTTAGAAATTTTGTACATATGTATGTAGTTTCTTATATTTAATTTGATGTGCAACTGTATTTTAAATTTTATGTGCAGGGAAAATTCTTTTAAACATGTAGTAATAATAGTCACTAGAAAGTTGTTGCTTTGTCTTTACAATTACTTAAAAACATTAAGGTAAAAGATACATTTCATTGAAAAGAAAGTACAATGTTAAACTAAATAAGGAAAATGGTTCTATGAGTAATGTCCCCAAATCAAAACATCTTTAAAGGTGCCAGAAAAGGTGTTCTAATATCATTAGCCTAGTAGATACTGGTGCTTGTCCTAATAGTGCATGGAATATTAAAATGAAGGGGCTTTTATGTGAATTATTAAATAACCATACAACTTTAGAATAAAAATCAAAGTTATTTTCAACTTTAATTTTAGTCCTTTTCAGTTGTGCCATATTACCTAGTTGAATTTATAGTTTTGTCTTTTGAGAATGTGGTAACTCAAAGTATGTAATAGTTTGTTTTTATCATGCCTCGAGAGAGAGGCAGATGATCTTGAAATTTTGATGGCATGACTAAGAATAGTTTATGTATACCTTAAGCTACCTGCTTCTTTAGATTATTGGTTCAATGTATAGTGTGGGGAAACCTCAGCAGAACAGATTGGATGTTTGAGAATCAACCTTCTGTTTCTCAAAATCTCAAAACCCTAGGAGGAGCAGGTGTGAGAAAGGATGGACATGAGTCAAATGCCCTTTTTCAATTCAGATATGTAGTTGATTATACAGTGTGATTTCTAGAGTTTCTAATCTTTCTTTAAGTATTTTGGATGGAACTAATAAACATATTAGATTTAACATTATTTTAAAGCATCTATTTTAAATGCTGAAAATGGCCAGTTTTGATCTTTACAAAAATACATTTTTTTTGTTTTGCTTTCAGCCTGAGTTCTACCAAGTATGCCACACCAAAAAGGATTATGAAGAAATTGGACCTAGCATTTGTCGTCACAACCCAGTGTTCGGAGTCATGTCATAAAATTGACTTCATAGTTATTGGGGTTAGGGAGATGGAAAAGAGATAATCTTCCTGATTACCTGTTTTGTCTGGATGGCTGGTTTTAAGGTTTTAAACCTGACTTGAATAGTAAGACCAAACATGATTATACAGGAATATTTTAATAAATGTATCAACATGCAGATGTAGAAGAGAGCCAAAATGATTAAGTGTTTTTCTTTAGATTGAATATTTGAATCTTATGTGCAACAAAAAGAAGTGGGTTTTAGTTCTTTCTGTGCCCTGATATTTTGTATATTATTGAATTATCCAAGATTTGATGGGATTTATCGGTATGTAGATAGCTCTATAATGCTTGAATTGTACACTTCCAAGTGTGCAATGCAAGAGCTTGTTTATATTTCATACTTTTTATACTTTGAGGAAAA